CAGAGATACTGCAATGCATCCATCATAGTTCTTACTCCATCACACTGCAAAATGTGCCGTATCTATAGAGTGCATCCAGCCAGCTGAGGTATTTGCAATTCCTTTTTCCTTTATGCAACTGTGATTAAAAACTGCACTGAATAGCAAGAGAGCATCTAATGAGGACTACAGTATGCCCAACGCGTTCAGTTAGATTTTATTATACATGTGTAAACTGGCTATAAACTGCTTACCTTTAGTATCCAGTTTGATTGTGGTTTTATTTTACCTTGGTCTCTTTTAGGGAAAAAAGACATTTGGGGATGATGAAGGGTAGTTAACAAAGGAAGGAAAGAAAGAATAATAATTAATAAGAGAGGTAATGTTAAATACAAATGAGTAGGTATGAAACTAGATAACTTGATTAGAGATAAGAACTGCAGGCTAAAAAAGGCCATGAAATAAAAGGATAAGGAATTGAGGCAGTGGTGAAAGAGCCAAGGAGGATTATCTGCAGAGAACTGAACTTAAGCTCATGTGAGACTGATTCTCTAAGATGACAGAAAACAGACAGCTGAAATCAAAACCATTGTGTGCAGTGTGCTCTGCAGATCTTTCCGTTTTTCTGAACCCTGCTCCTGTCTTTCGGTTTCCTTCTCATCTCTTTTTTTCCCCCGGCTGAATACATCATCCACAGTCTGCCACCCTTTCCAGTGTGCTCCATCTTGGAGTCAAACATTAGCCAAGAAATGAGATGTATAAATGGGAAGGTGTCATAAATTCTTCAGCTTTCCCTTTATTTTTGTTTGCGGTCCTTTTCGAAAACACAACTGAGCCACACAAACCAGACCTGAACAGCTTTCGTCGGGTGCAATTAGAGCAGCGCTGTGCAATTTCACACATCACAGAGTCCAAATGGTAGTGAGAGAGCTGTTAAAAATTTTGACAACCTCAACACCCTGAAGCTATGGAATGTTATTTTGTTAAAGTGTGTAATTCTCTGAGCCTGTACATTATCTCCCTTTTTTCTGTTGAGAATGAGGGAGGTGATAGATTTCAAGTGTCTTAGGGGGTTTAACTTTGCTCCTGAAATTAGTTGCATCTTTTCCACAAAATGGAAACGTTTGGATGCTGAACAGCAAACCAGAATAGCTGCACTTTAAGCCTTGTTTACAAAGACTCTGGTCCCCCTTTTCCAGCCTTGCACCGCATATTTTAATAAGGTATTGCTGGAAAGAAAGAACCTTTGATTCTAAATTACTGAAAAACCACAAACACATTAATAAAATTGCTGTATTTATCCTTACGATTGCGATCTAGTCATGCAGAAACAGGGAGTTTGTAGATACATCCTGCCCAAAAATAAGGACTTCTAAGAACGTCAGGTTTTGAGATGGTGAGCAAGGCGTCCAAGGAACTTAATATTTAAAGAGAGTGTGTCTTTTAACTGTGAAGGGATTCGATTGAACTTAGAAAATAGCTTGACAGTTTATGTTTTACTTTAAAGTCAGCATGCTCAACTTTGTAGAATCAAACATCCTGCTTGCTGAGGAATGAGAGGTGAAACATTCATGATATCTACAGTAGTACATATTAACAATTGTCAAAGTAAATTTTGTTGAACAAAGTAATATATATATAAGACCCAGAAAGGACAGTGCTTTTAACTTAAACTAAACATTAAAAAAGGGAACAACAGCTTGAACCCACAGCATCTCCTCTTTTTATCCTCGTGTTTCCTTTCTGACAACATAGATTAAAGGATGGGGAAAAAAACAAAAAAACATTTGTATTATCAGGAAACTGAACACAGAAATAATAGTGAGCTGACACAGACAATTTATTTAAAGGGCACAAAAAATATTCTGTTCCAAAACTTCTCATCAAGCTAAAGGTCATATTTGCATTTAAAGTGATATTTTCATACTTACTCTTCAAAATACCCCTCCCTCTGCTCTTTTACATTCAGTGGCTCTCTAGAACCCACTACAAAATAGTTCAACAACAAATGTTCTGCTGTTTCTGTGCTTTTGTTTTATAAACTTGAATCATAGAACAAAGGAATGAAGTAGGCTCATTTTATAAAAGTAAAAATAAACTACCAACATGGCAAAGAGGGCAGCCGTTTAATGCTGCCACTTGTATCTCTGTGTATTTATGCATTTGTAAATGTCCGGCTGTAAATATCAAGGGTATGATGGCATGTTTTTAATAGCGATATATATTTCTTTCAGATTGTGAAACCTTTTACTGCAGAAAATCCCTGTAAAAGGGTTTAGTTTAAAGGGCCAATAAGCAAATTTTCACCACTTGGTCTGTGTTTGCTCCTACGCTATGCTGGTAAGCCTTGATTGGCAGCTGTTCACATCCACATATACCACTGCCTGGCAAGCCCAACTATGTAAACAAGAGACTGGAAAACAGCACAAAGAGATGATGTGTGATGTCTAACCATAGCTCGTCTGAAAATATACCTTCAAAAACTGCTAGTTAATGTCTTTTTATCTAATATTGTATTATCTAATAATACTTTAATAGCCCTAACACAAAGCCTTTATAAAAACTGTAGTATGATAAACTGTATAATTAACTACTACCCAAGAAGATTTTTCAGATATAAATCTACAGGAAAATACTCATCATACAACAAAAAAAAACATAAAATGATTTAACCATTAATCCTTTCTTCAATTTTCACTGAATTTATTTGTCTTCTACTATTCTGCAAATGTGCCAGATATTCTTAAAGCTAAACTTTATTTGCCACTGCGGTTTAGAATGATCAGTTTTTGATCAAACAAGTAAAAAATCTCCTAAACAGTGTTATTTTATGTGCAGCTTTATGACATAGGTAAGTCATGCAGGTTTCAACCTGATTAATGACTGCTATTGAAAAAGGCCTCCAAGTTTATATCTTATGATGAATAAACCTCATTCTAAGCACTGTCATTTTTAGATGCAGATACTGTGAGCCTGTCTCACGCAAGTGTTTCCACATTTCACATTTATATTGGTATAACTTTTTTATACTGTATATCATGATAGTTAATAATGCAGATCTTCAATTGATGAACTGCTGAAATGTTTCCTATTGTCTTGCCTTGTTAGTTCTGCAGAGGCGTGTAAAATCTGTGTCATATATATTGTGCATAATGAAATGTTGTGTTTACAATGCCTGTTACCTTACCAGGACACAGTTATGGTATGTTTTCTTTGTTTTTCACTAGAACTGTTTGGACAAGCTGAGCAAAATATTATTTCTCAAGTGAAATGAAAACAGGACTGCTGTCGGAGCTACTTTAAGAATGAAATATGTCAATATGGCCTAATTTATGATAGTGGACAGAGCACCTGTATAGTATAGCACAGAATGAAGTGATGTTTTTATAACTGTATTAGTATATGAGCTGCATAGAACAGTATGGAGGACTAAGGCTTAAGGAGATACACAATTATTTGAATGGGTTATATGCAGAACTTTGCTGTTTATTTCACTCTAATCAATAAGAATGAGGAAAAAATTCATGTTTTATTGTCAAAGTGTTTTCAAAGAAAGCCAGACCGACAGACAGACCGACCGACCGACAGACAGACAGACAGACAGATATATAGATATGTTTTTCATGTTTAAAAAATACCCCACCAAATTACTAATTTAAATACATTAATATAATAATACAAATCATGCAATTTTGCAGTATTTTATTAATTTAAGGTTTTATCATAAAGCTTCTTTGCATCTACTCTACTTTTTTTTCTTCAACTTTATTTCAAACGCTGCATGCAATTTTTCTCTCCCTGGTATGTGAACAAACAGTATTGATTAATAATCCTCACAGTTTTGACAAATACGCTTTACAGTCTCATTACGCTACAACAAATTGTGGTACACACTGGGAACTGTAGTAGTGTACATTATAGATCGGATCATTACTGCTAAAATAAACTGGTGCTGTTATGCCAGCTCCTGCTCAGTTAGGACTGGCCAAGTATTGGTGCTCTCTGTCATGGGTAGTTACACAACCTCCTGCTGCTTGCTTGCTGTGACTTTCTGTCTTCAGTAAAAAAGAAGGGGAGGGAATACATATTAATAAGCGGGGATTATGCAAATATTCATAAAAAAATGTACAATTAGCTTTCAAAAAATGTTTCATAGTTGAAATCCTGTACTTATGTTTTTAGATTATTACCGGTGTACACCATCTTGTGGTAGTCTTCAAAATAACAATCAAAAACATGCGCTGAAGCAGGGGTCTTTAACCCCACCACAGTGGATATTCAACATGAAGTGACTCAGACATGAGCAATATTTGAATTGACAAAGTAAACAGGAGCTTTTGGTGTATGTGTATATATATATATATATATATATATATATATACACATATATATATATACATATATATATATTCATCCTGTATCCAAGACAACAATGCAGATCATAAAGGCGATTGTTTTTCAGTCTTTATATTTTAATTAGTAAAATATTTTGTGGTTTTCATTTAATAGTTACTTCTTCTTTTTTTATGAAAAGAAAGTCAATTGTCTTTTATATAATTAAATACTTTTAAAATTATTTGTAAAACTTTTTTTTTTACAACAGACAAAATTTGTTAAAAGCCTCAAGATATATTTGTGTTGCAATGTCATGATTAAATCTGATATTATCCAGTAAACAAGCTTTTAATAAATATATATTTGTTCAATGAGGAAAAAACACTTTGTAAACAAGCGTTTTTCCAATTAAACACCCAACACCTGCTTATAAAGATGACTGGCTTTGTAGGTTTCGTGGCTCTAGATGGATTTCATTTCATTGGAGTGTGTCATTGTATTGAAGTTTGCTGACCCCTATCCTAAAGGGAGTAATGGTTAAGTAACTGGAAAAACAGAGTTTTCTGATGGATCTTTATGATTCATGTTCCATAAAGACCTCTCGCTGAGTGCACTGCAACGATTAGCATTTTCCCCAATCTTTCTGCTGGTGGGTTTTTATTTATGGCTCCTCTGAAGAGGTGTACCTGTCTCAAGTTTAGAGTGGTCCGTCCTCTCTGTCACCTTCTCCTGACTGATGAGGTAATCAACAATGCGTACGCCGATTGGTGGCTCAGTGTGGTTCCACTCCATGATGACCAATGAACTACTGGGTTCATAGGTGTAAGACAGCTTCAGCCTGGCAACAGAGGGGAAACAGAACTGCTGTGAAGTATGCTGTCAAAATAATGACCTCTTTACAGGAACTGGCAGCCACCATCATCCTTCCTGATTCACAAACCTGCAAGCTTAATAAAACACTTTATCTGCATGATCATAAACATTGCTGTTAGAGAAGAAAGTCACGATATTTATTTCCTAATTTCTGACTCACTCTAGAATGGATGTTTGCAGCTCCTGAATGAAGCACCAAGAATTTTGTATACACAGGTTATCCTGGCAGACAATCAATATACAGCAGCTTGTTTAATTGAATAGCACGCCCACAGCAGACAGGAGGAATAAACCATTGATCGCTGTAATGTCTGGTTGCAATTAAATATTGAGCATCCAGGGAAACTGATGGCACATTGCTAGAGTCCAGGTTAGGAGGAGATTGATTTCTGTTGGAAAAATGACAGATGGCATTTCTCACACTTTTGAATGGGTTGAACTGAGGTAATGCAATGTGATTTCACTCACATGGGTTGAGGAAGCGGGGCGCAGGTGGGCAGTCCGTCTGTGCCGAATGCGCTGGAATCACATCGACACCAGTCATCAATAACGTCGCCTTTGCCTGAGCACCACAGCATGCTCATCATTGCTTCCTGGAGAGCCTGTAAGGACAGAAAGCTAATGATTAGAAGAGAGGCAAACACATTTTTGATTTTAAAATAAACTTCTAACACATAATAGTAATTCAGGTTGTTTTTTTAAATTATTATTATTTTTTTTAACCTAAATAAGTAATATATAGCTTTCAAGTCTGTGGTACAAGCTTGTGGCAACAACTTAACCGTCCTTAAACATCAGCATTTTGTTTATTATTACTCATTACTTATTAAAGGGGCGTGTTGGCCTAGTGGTTAGAGCAGAGTGCTTGTGATCTGGGAGGGTTGCAAGTACCCGGTTCAATCCCCACAGCCTCAACTCTGGATCCCTGAGCAAAGACCCTTAACCCCTCGCTGCTCCCCGGGCGCCAAACAATGGCAGCCCACTGCTCCCCAAAGGAATGGGTTAAATGCAGAGAGTCAATTTCCCCATTGTGGGACATAAAGGGATTTTACTGTAAACATTAATCCATTCATAAAATATTAATTTAGCTGAGCTTGGATTTAGAGATATTTATGGAAGATCAAAATAGTCATGTTACAACTAGAACCTTTAATTTAGTGCTGGGATTTTGTTTGACAGACCAACACAAGGAAATGGAGAGAGATGTTTTCCAAAAACCGAAACATACATTTGTATTCAGTCCCTATGAGTAAACACTTTGAAGAGCTATTGCACCTTTAACAAGTGTTTATGTGCAGCTTTGCACATAAAGTGACTGAAATTTCAGCCCTTCTTTTAAACATGTAAAGCTAAGACAGAATGAATGGAGAGTTTAAGTAAAAATCCTATGATGTCTTGACACAGATTCTAGGTTAGAAATTCAACCGGAGTCATTCCGTTCAATCTCTGGCTGTAGGTCTTTGGTTTTCCTACTGAATGGTAATAAAGACTTTTGCAGCTTCTTGAAGGTTTTTCTCCTGTCCTGGCTTTAATTTAGCATCATCGCTCTTCCAGTAGACATAAATCCCTTTTCTTGTGTCTGTGACAAATACTTTTTCAACATTATGATGCCGCCACCACCATGTACAGGATCGGTGTGTCATGTGTGATGTCCGTTAAAAGCCTTCTGATGGACATAGTTTTTTGAATGTACTGTAGGAAAAAAGAGATACGGTATAGTTTGATTGCTTGCTTGATTGATTGATTTATCAATTCGGTTTATTAATCTTACAGAGGAGAAATGTATATGTTACATCGACTCAAATAGTGATAAAGAATAAGAAGATGCAAATAAGGAAGAAACGGTGCATGGGGTATATACAGAATATACAGTGGAGATCAAAAAGACTGTAAAAATGCGAACAGCAAAAGAAAAATCTCAAAAAATTGCAGAGCTGCAGGGTGGGAGTAGGAGAGACAGCAAGTGCAGAGAGACAGAAGATGTCTGAGTAAAAGCCTCGTGCAGGTTTTTGAGCAAAGTTCTGATTTTGTTCGAGTTGAAGTGGTGCAAGATTTCAATTAAATGTGTCATCACTGTTTTTTTGATTACTGTTTATTATTTAATTGCACAAATCTTTCAATGCGATATTATTTCAATGAATTTCATAGGACTTCAATATAAAACAAGTTATTTAAAGCAGATAAATTTGGTTAATTAGTATTCTTTATTTCTTTTTGGTATTTTTGTTTTGTTTTGTTCCTAAAAAAACTTTTTCAGGAAAGAGGGGGTCGTCTTGTAATGAGGGTCCTCCTATATTCATTTTTGTGTCAGCCAGTCAGGGCACTTATTTTCCAATGTTTGTTTTCTCTTTCCACACATTGCTTGTAAAGCCAGATTCTCCTACCTGAGTTGTTGATCTCACATGCTACCTTCTCTAAAGTTTCAGTGGCCTTTTTTGGGTGCTTTGCTTTTATCAATCCAAAAAGCTTTTACATAACCCTCCTCTTCATGAAGTGTCTGTTTACTAATGATCGACAGCAGAGGTCACGGATTAGCTGACCAGGGTCCAGATCTGGAACCACCTGCTGGCTAATCTGGACCCAAACGAATTAAAAACATTGCGCCGCTTCTCCCGTTTGTATGTTAAAGCCCTCTGGAGCGTCCGGGACCAGGCTACACATGATACAAATTAGCCAATGAGCTGTGTCAGACAGGATTGCTGATGCTAGCTACTTTTAGAAGCGGCAGGCAAACCTGTGGCAAGTGGGACGATGGGAAAGAAGAAGATGATGAGAAAAACAAAGCAGAGAAAGTGTGGACTGCTGGAAGAACTGCTGTGAACTGGTGAAATGGTGTGCTCAAAGATGATGTTCATTTTGATTATGTTTGTCTCAACCTACTGCTGTGAAGCAGGATTCCCCACCATTACCATAATAAAAAATAAATATCAAACCAGGCTCACGAATGTGCTTGAGAATGGCTTTTTGGCCATTCAAACCCAGTTCTAACAGCCTTTCAGAGCAGTGTAAAGCCCACTGCTCTCGTTAGGCCATAAAAAGAAAGAAAAAAAAAAACTGAACGATTTTCTACTTCAAAAAACACTTTAGATTTTAAAATGGAAAAACTGTCTTTTTTTTATATATATATTTTTTATTTAAAATTTCAATGTATAACATAGATGCATAAACACCTCATTATCTTTCATTGTTAAATTCTGTTTAGAGTAACAGATTATAATTAAAAATTTCTCCGGACCTTTACTGGTTGTTGATTTTCTTTATTTGGACCCCGCTGATTTTTTATTGGGTTACCCCTGATCTATCATAAACCCCTGAAGCATAAGAAAACAAATGCATGTATTCTGGGATTAAATTGCCCCTTGTTCCATTTAATTATTAGGTGAATATTAAAAGCATATTGTTGTAATATGTTAAATGTAAAGGTGTCAAGAGAAAATGCTAATGAAATGTGCTGACGAAAATTCATTAAGGATTTTAGTTATATGTATTACAATGTAAAAAACACTTTTGGATGGAAGGAAAGTAAACAGGGAAGGACCGTACTGTAGTGGGACTTTATATCTTAAATATACCATTAACAACTGTTACTGAGATGACAAAGGATTGGAGATAATTAAGCTGAGTTCTTTATAAATAAAAAATAAACAAATAAAAAAAAACATAAATATATTTGTATTTTAAAATATGTGAGTAGTTTTACCTTTAAGTTTTTCACACCCCCTATTTAAAATAATCTATGTGATACTGAGCAGTACAATAAATGAGAGTGTAATAAACATCAAATTATAATGCGGCTTTTGTGTTTTTTTTACTTCACAGGTGTCTACACCAGTAATTTTTGAAGCTTCTATCAATAGCAGCTTTGTCCGTCCGACTGAGCTGGGCGATAAAGGCTGTGAGACGTGTACAGCACCATATCGACCATTTCTTCATCCTCCAGGAGCAGAGGCTTTATTGATGTACAATATTGATAGAATCAAATAAGTCACAGAGCAGCGCGGCAGCTCATGGCACAGCATGCTTTCAACAGAATGACACGTGAAACTGAAAGAGAAATACTTCCTGGGAAGTTCTTTTATGTTACATAATGGGTCCCTAAAATTTTGGATGTCCCACATAGTGTTATGAACATTGTTAAGGCTTCGGGGAACCAATGACATAATAATCACAAAGCAATTTTCGTGCCTAAATTATGAACTGCTGTCTTTAAGCATCCAGTTCCAGCTCAAAATTGCAGAGAAGCTTTTGCAAAAAAAAAAAAAAGAAAAATATAGCAATTTGATCAAAAGTAGGAGTCTGTAAGAGTGGTTATAAAAGACTCAGGAAACACAAATCAATTTCCTTTGGAACAAAAGCACCAATTTTAACTTAATGGAAAAATAATAGTTGTACAAACCAGTTTTTTTTTTTTGCTTTTGAACAGTAGATGTAGACTTCCAAGACACCGAAGAAAATCTGAACAGAAATAGCACCCACCTGATAGGTCTCATTGTTGGACACTAGTTCATAGATTGGTGCAGCCTTGGTAATCTTCAGGAGGACCGGTTCAGACTGCTGCCGTCCCTGTGCCGCCCTTGGACTCATATGGCAGAGGTGACAGGAGCGTGGGCACTGGCCTTGGCTGGTGCAGTCCATTCTGACGCCGGCCACCATGCGCTTAGCTCCTGTGTCCAAAAGGCTTGCAATGTATGCTGGGTAAGTCAACGTCCTGGGCTCCTTGTCCCGCTCCTCTGACTCTTCTGAAGGGGAATTACCTGAATGTACAGAAAACAAGGTAACAGATTGAGGACAATTTCCAAGCCGTGGACTTCTTTCATGGCAACACACATAAATAATAAATAGGTTTATAAAAGTTTATAAAGATTAGATCTACTATTTTCTTCTAATGAGAAAAAGAAGCTGTGGGGAAAAGAAAGAGCTGAACTGGGAAATTGTTTCTCCACAGCACTGTGGAAAGACTACAAAGCATTTATATGTTCCCAAATTCCCATATCTTTCTTTTGGAGTGTTTTATCCTTTTTGCATCATAGGCAGAATATATGAGCAGGGGTGTAAATAATTGGAGCTCAGCGCTGTCTCTGTGTAGAAAAATGAAATGTTTACACTGCGCTGATGTGACTGCTATATTGATTTGGTTTCTTTTTCTTATCTCAAGCTCTTTGTTTGAAGTTTGACAAAACCACATGTACAATTACATGAGAAAAATATCAAATTAAAGAGAGCAAAATAAAAACAATGGCCCTACCTCTCAATAAAAAAATACATTTAAAAAATCTAACTTATCTGGATGAAAATCCGACTAACAGGGAGATTGTTCGTTAACTTTAGTCTATTTAGAAACTTTAGTCTAGTTCCTCTTAGCTTACATTTCTATTGCAATAGCAGTTCTTAAAAGAAAAAGATGACAACTGACTCATTGGAGCAGGCGAATGTAGGCTCTGTGATAGGGTTTTGTGACATGGAGCTAGATCTGCGAGGAAGCAGGGTCAAATATACTGTAATTTAGTTATGCCAGAAATTGTTGATACTTATAAACAAAAATAAAACTCTTTGAGGAACACGTATCCAACCTTATGTGTATAAAAATAAGCTAGATTTGAGCAAGCATTTCAAATTTTGGAGTCTTGTGGAGTGATATAAAATAAACATTTGATAATAGAAGTATGGCCTGTGAATAATTATTGAAAGACTTATATAAGTTTTATATATATTATAAGTACTCATTTAAATATTTGAACTTTTTTAACTTATTTCAGAGAAAATAATAAAATAAATAAAGCTTAATTCAGTTATCAAGGGTCTTAGCAATTTGAGCACATTTTGGCTTTTGTTAATCAAAATGAATCACCTAAATGGGTGACATAAACTTACAATGCTTACATCTCTGTTTTAAAATGAAAAAGAAGGGGAAAAAAAACACAAAAAAGAAAAAAATACTACTGGATGGGTTGGAACAAATCATACCAAACAACCCAGAACAGTGCTTAAACATACTCAGTGGTCTTATGTGGTTTCTGCTGCCTCCAAAGTTATTAGGTAAGAAAGCTTTAAGAGGAAACTTAGGTAAGCATATCCAAACTTAAGAACAAGGACCAAGAGCAAAGCCAACCTTGACAAAACTGAACAGTCTGCGTGAAATCAGCCAAAGACACAGGAAATGAAAATGAAGGCGAAAACAGTCAGCCACAGCAGAAGGCTGCTGATACAAAAATGAACTAACAATCACAACCAGCTGTGTACCAGTAAAGGGAAACAAATCTTTCAGGGGAGCGGCAAAAGAACATAACATCCTACAAATATATAAAAACCTAAGAAAATATTAGCTCTGAGAGATGTACAATAACTAGGGAAGGAAAAAGTCTCCATTGACATTACCATTTGCTTCATATCAGAACATTTGAGTACATTCATTTTTTTTTTTAGAAAACATACATTGTTCTGCTTTAACATTTGTGAAACAAACAATTGTTTCAGTCAAGCAAAAAAGCAAAAAAAAGCATAAAAGGTCTGATTGAAATTAAACAAGCAACCGAAAAATATACGTTTTTAAAAATGAAACCTTTTCATTGTGTCTATAGCCCAGCAGTTACCAAAGTGCGGGGTACGTCCCTTAGGAGGAGGCTCAGGGGCCCAGGTTCAATGACCGCACAGGGACATTACGCAATACCTTAATATTTAATACCCACCCCATGGAGGGCTCTAAATATGTTATTTAAGCAAATAACATTGGGACTGTCATATATTGTTCTGTAAGAACACACAAAAACTGGCTCTGAGTTAGGACAACAAATGAAAGTGTGAATAGAGCTCAAATCATGGTCCAACAGTTAACTATACAAACATACGTAACAAATAAATAAAAACTCTTCATTCTAAGTATGAGATTTTATGAGCAAAAAATCCTTAAACTCCCAGTCAAACATATTCCAGTTGGAAACTCTCAACTACACTAGATACTAAGTACACAAACAAAAAGGGATAAAAAATGGTTGAAAACCAATATCAGTCAACTGATGCAATTAAATCAGTTCAGCATGAATTTTATGCTTGAGAAGCAAACATGAGGTCAAATTAGCTTTAAACTAATTTAGAACAATTGGAATGTGTTCAAACCAATTCACAATGTAAATCCAAAGAGGTAAATACAGCATTGTTTTTTTTTTAAATAAAATGTTATGAAGTGATTAAACACAAAAAACAACCAAAAAAAGGAAAAAGCAAAAAAAACAAACAAAAAACTTTTGGTTGGCCTTCTTTGATTGAAGGTATGGGCCACCAAGCTTCTTCATTTTGACAACAAAATGCAATGAGCATATCAGGAAGCATATAAATGTTTATATTTTATGGGTTTTTAAGCCCTTAGTAAAATAAATGTAGTTTTAGCTTTATAAACAACAGCTCAAGACATGTCAGCATGGGGTATAAGGCTTTCACCATTAGCCACTTGTTAATTTTCTTCACACTACACTAAACATTAAATTATGAAAAAAAAAATATCAAAAGCCATAACTGTTTGGCTTTTAAACCTTTCACCCACTTTGCCAGGCTTGTAACCTTTGTTGATCTCTGCTATGGAAAGGTGAGGCATCTCCAAAGATCAGGAAAGCTTAGTGTGTGGGGCTTGCATGTCCTCTGTGGTAGTGTCTTGTGAGAGGGGCATTTGCAGTAGTTGGAGAGGACAGTAAAACAGAGCAAAACTGTATGTTTCTTCATCAATGTCCAAAAGTAATGAGCCTGGACAATGATCCTCAATGTCCAAAATGAACATATTGGCCTATCTGACACCATTTCTTTTTAAAGCTCAGTGAGGCCATCTCACCGCTCTTTTGCCCGGGGCTCCTTGGTCTGGTAGGAAGAGGAACGCATCTTCAGGTGAATCCCTATCCTTAGGAATGTCTGTGTTCGTTGACCAATCCAATATCCTGTCTATGATTCAGAGAGAACTGAAGCATTGACTTCGTTATGATTCTGCTGCTTTGAAGCAGATTAGAAAAGCTGCAGAGTTTTTTGCCCATGGCTAACTGTATCACCTGCTGCTGCCTCTGAGACCGGCCGACCACCTGCCGAGAGGAACTGCAGCTATAGAGCTGGCATCAGCTACTGCTTGCACCTTCAGTGTAGACGACCCAGAACTCCTGTAAGTTACCGAACAAATTAAATTAATTGAATTAAAATTAAATTAAAGTGCTGCCTGCGATAGACTGGCNGATGGATGGATGGATGGATGGATGGATGGATGGATGGATGGATGGATGGATGGATGGATGGATGGATGGATGGATTGGTGGATTAAAGCCCTGCAAATTTCCTGTCGTTGTTGTATCCAACTGAAACTGAAAGAGAGGTGCCATTGGTCTGAGGACTAAAACCCTGGGCTCGATTGGACCGAACATTGTTCTTCACATCCACCAAATTAACACATAGTAAAACCTTTTGTTTTCCTTTTTATCTGATGTTTATTAATTCATTGATATACTCAACCTTATTAATGGAGATTCCTTAGAGACTGAATGAACGTTTAAAACCCCCAGCTCCCCCTTGTGCTTATTCTTAGTTGTCTGTCATATTAGATACACTGTAATAGGGATTATTCAGATAATAATCAATATTTAAACTTCTAGTACTGTGTGGTTATTTTTGCGGTACCTGTTCTACCTGGGGTACAAATACTAGAATCTTGGCGAGTAAGCACATTTCAGTTATAATCCTTCAACTTATATTAATAAATTGGTTTTACCCTTTATTTGAATTACCTATTAATGAACCACAACTTCCAGTTTTAGTTACTTATTATATTTATAATTTGCTGGTAAAAGTGTACAACAGGCATTACACTTTGTTGAAATGTATGTAATAAATGACTTCTTTTCCATATTTTTTATTGTATTGTATGCAATGTGGAATTTTGTTAAAAAGTAACATTTGCACACAAATTGGTGAGAACAAAGGTATTCAACATTTGCATACAAAGATTCTAGTATCTGATCATTTCCAAGGGTTTCTGCACCCTTACACCTCTGTCCAGCCCAACTTTAATTTATCCCTGTCAAACTGGCCCACTTCCTACTAATCAGCTCTCATCATTCTATCTTCACTTGCCACCATTTGGCAGGTGGATATTAAATGTGGCAGTTATATTAGGGCAGGAAAGCACTTTGCAGGGCAAAGAAAATTGCCAATGATTAGTGCAGTTTAGTTTGGGTTTGATTCAGTAGTCCTAACTGTCAGCTCAGGCTGCTAGCAGATATTGAAATGGATGAGCAACCATGCATGGTGACGCCTGATGACCCAACACATATGGCACAACATTAAGTTTTTCCCACTTTTGAGCAACTTTAGGAGTCCAGATTACCAAGCTTACTCTAGTAGACATGTAGAGTACCTTTTAAAAGCCCTGCTACACCTTCCATCATTATGGCACAATATGAATTCACATCACAGCCACGAAAAACAATTTTTGATGGGAGTTTATATAAAGGAAAAATGCAAAGCGATGCACAAGTGTGAATCAAAATAGAATTTAACTCCAACATTTTTAGATGTCCCCATAAATGCTGATCTGCTTTACTGCCCCTGCTGAGAAGGGGATCACAACAGTGTGATGCTACCACCAGTCAAAGATATGACAGGGTAAATTCTATGTATATATATATATATGGTTTTGGGTATCAACTGGGCCTCTCAAGGTGTAAAAATATTGTTTTTGTTGGAAGAGTATTTTTCAGTAAAATTCAAAGATTACCTCAATACTAAA